GCTCCCCTACATAGGAATTTGAAATCAACAACGCACTGCAAAAATCATAACTGCGTCATGCAAAAGTTGCTGCACACGATATAGAGGTAAAAAGTTTGGATGGCGTTTGATTGGAAATAGCATTTTCAGATGCCAATAAAAATATGTATGATACACTTGTATCAGTACAGAAAATGTATGCGAAACTGAAAAGTTTTTACCATAGCAGTGTTGTTACTTCAATACGTCATAACACTTTTTATAGAACTTCGAGAAAATTAAATTGTTTGGAATATATAAGAATGAAATTGACTCTCCAGACATGATACAATGTAGTGGCGTACATACTCGTATAAACTTTAACCTATCAAAAATAATCGAAGTGACTCAGAAACTGTGGTTCTCTACCCACCATGATGAGATGTATCAAACAACGCTATGATAAGAGGCAGCTTCTTGCAGTAAGAAGCTTCTCAGGTCCTAGAAAGTGCTTCTAATCCTGTAATACAGTAGCAGAGCCAGTAATAAACGAGGTAATATCCAAGTTACCTGATTATCATTATTGAGACGTCTAACCGAAATGCAAGACTTATAAATCTCTAAGTCTTGGGGTCTTCTAAGATTTTCTTGCCGTGAACAGAAGTAATGAAATGTTGTTTAAGACACGAGCGACCTTAAGGAATGAGAAAGTCACGTTGAATAGAATCCATTTGCATTCCATCCCTGTGACCATAATCAACCATATACAACGTTGTTTGATGCCTTTTTGCCGACATCAGTGCTACACAAAAACTCAGTCGGTTTTATGCATCTTTTGAATAATATCTCAGCGCTGTTAGCATGGTGGGTACTTAGTACTTTTCTTAGTGATGGTGAGACGCCAATGAAGTGGGCGTTCCTGTTTGGATTCTTAGAAGCGGACACAGTCGTGCAAAGGTGCAGGCAAGCTGTGGTGGCAGCACCTTTTTGGCAAAAAGTGGTAGTAAACTTAGTCCTAGCTCTTTTGTAGAGCATCTAAGCCAGCAATATTCATGTCCCGACTATGCATTGGATGTCATTACTTAAGGGGGCAGTTTTTGGACACATTTAAAAGAATGTGTTGAGCTGCATGGTGATCAATTTTTTAAAACTTATTTCTCATTAATCTCTGGAAATACCACAGATATTTTGATAAAATGCTGTATACATGTACTATGTATACTACGAATCGTTCGTACACAATTTTACCTGACTATTTTAGTAGACATTGATATTTTTGAAATCTCGTATCATTTCCAAATTTGACTGTTTTTTCAATTCGATGGACGATTTTCTATTGAAAAAATGAAAGAAATTTCTCTGGATAATCCTATCAATATCGTCAATGTAAGATTTGAAACTTATCCTGTGGCTTACATATCGATAATCACCTATGCGTGTCTGGCCAATATAGCCACATGTGTTGACAAGGTCTTGTTCAATGTAAACGTTTCATTCGTAAACGTGGCCTTCTTCAGTACAATGACAGATAAATGTATTGTCGCTGTACTGAAGAAGATCACCTTTGTGACTGAAACGTTTACAGTAAAGAAGATTATGTCAACTCATGTTGTTTTATTGACCAGACAAGCATGACAAGAATTATCAATTTCGTTATTTTAGTATCACCAGGCAGAGAAATAGCTTTTATTTTTTAGGAGGAAACTATGCCTCGGATTAAAAACTTCAACAGATCAAATCTGCTCCTAAAAGAATACAGATTTAGATTTTCTATTTTGAGGAAAGTCAGTGGCGTGTCACTGATATTCTGTATTGAAAACTTAACCACCCTTAATCTCAAAAGTTGAGACGTTTAGAACATACGTTTATATGAAGTTGTTTCCTTAAAATATACTAAAATATCATGCATATTTCACATATATTAACTATATCTCGACTATACCTTGCCTGGAACACATATTTGGTAGGATTTCAATAATTTGGCATTTTGACTGCACTACATGAAAATGGGTCAGAAATCTGAAAGAAGTATAGCTTGGCTAGAAGTATTGTCCATTTAGAATCTCTAACAGTTTCCGTTTCTTTTATTTTCCGCCTTCAACCTGCCATCCCACTGCGTGCAGCGAACTGGCAAGCTGTCGAGTATGTGGAAACGTTATGCAACAACCAAGAAACATTTTCCCTCAAATTCAAAGGTTACTTTATGATTACAACACCTCCATCCCTTACTCGTGAGCAGTAACTTCCACTGGGTTTAACATAATTTCTCGAGAAGTCTGTCTCCAAGTGAACTTCGTTGGAAATTGAAAAAGGCCGTTCAAACGGCCAGCTATGGAATAATAAATTACTCTGATTGAGCTTGGTATTCTACCAAAGAACCCGATGGAAGCACCTACGTGATATATTTTCTATACGACACCGTTAGCAGTAGAGATATAGGCAATAAAAATCAGTGAATCGCAGATAAAAATGAAGATATAGTAGGTGGTATAGCCGTGAAAATGCGATCCTCTCACTTTTTACGATGTTTGTTATTTTTCGCGTTTTTCGACTACGGGTGTGAGAAAAAAGGAATGCCAAATTCATCGTGAAAGGTTCAATCAGCGCTTTTTAAGCATATGCCGTTGGAGGCTTTATTTGCTTTTGTATTCAAACGTTTGGAATATACGGGGTGTTACAGAAATACATATGCTAGAATCAGAAAAACATAGCAAATAGGGTATCTTTCTAGAGTCAGAATGATTTTTCCAATATTAGAATATTCACATGTTTGGTGTCTTGCGAGTAGCACACTGTTCAGAGATAATCTGTCTGAATGGTCGGCAAAATTGCCCAATTAGATGGCCTTATACCCCTCTCATATCGCAGTCGGTGTTTTTGTTCTCTTCAATGGATATGTCAACGGACACTGGTCGCCTGTTGAATAATGCAGCTATGTTGTAAGCGTACCAGATGGACACAACAAGCTCCTGTTACTTGTTTCAAACTGATAGAACTAAAATAGCACAGAGCTCCTTTCTACGGGGTGTTCAAATTTTGAATGACCCTTTAGATAGGAAAAGTTTCTTATAAAAGTTGTATGATCTATTATAAAGTTTTTCAGGCAATGTATTTTTTTCTATATAAGAAAAATGCTATCAAATCAAGATTTCGCTTTCTTGTTTTATACCGAAGCAGCAGCGCAGGCAGAAGCCTAAATGCCTAAACGCCGGGGCTGCTATGAGGATTCCAAAGAAATTTCGTTAATCCGATTTTTGACCTGTCCAAGGTTAGTAGAACTGTGAAAGCTTTCTCTTGTAGATTGTTCCACAATCTCAACACCCTCGAGTTTTTTCTGATTCTGAATATACAGGGCGGACAGAATATTACTCATAAACAAATACATTTTGGAAAAATCTATTTATAGCATGTTCTACATGATATTTGATGGCACATTTCTAAAATAATGGCGATTATACAGGGTGTCCCAACTTTGAACTGCATATCAAAGTTGTGATTTTTTAAAGGAATGCCTCAAATTCTATTTCATGTAATTGATACTATGGAGTTTTGGTGATCAGCTACTGAGATGTAAGGTGTTTTGGGCAACCCCTCAATCCGCCATTTTGGAATTTGGAGCACTGAATTTTGTATCAAAAAAACATACACTCCTCAGCTCTTATCTTATGTGTTACCTTTTCGAATCTTCATTTTTGCTCATACAGGGTGGTCAAAAACGCGAATAGTACTATTTCTCAAAAAATTAAAATGCATCACCCTGTATATTAGTGATTCAATTTTTTATAACCTTTTTTTTGATATTAGACATATTATTTCGGTTATTAGCAGGTCTTTTATGGAACGGCTTAATTCTCTAAAATCTCGCATCATCCTGGGAAACAAATAAATTGTTGATTAATTACAAACTGTCAAAATTAGATTTGTGACCATTATAATAAAAACGTGTTTGAAAATGAATTTCTCTAAAGAAGAAATGGTGAATATGATGCTCGTTGTAGGCGAAGCCCAAAGAAATATGTAAGTGTAGTTTCTTAGCATCTCGCATTCATAATCAACGGTACCCTAATATGCGACATCCAAGGCGGGTAACATTTTCCACATTAGAAGAATGTTTTGAATCAAGTGGAGCAATGGAATATAGTAAAAAATGTATAAACAATAAAAAGTCACCAATGAGGGGAATCGGTTGGAGGTTCTATTAAAGTTGCAGGAAAATCCCCATTTAAGAGCACGGCAAATTGGAGCAGAAACTGATATATGCAGAACTTCTATCCAGAGGATTATTCACAAGTATAGGTACCATCCATATCACCGTTGTTTGCATCAAGGCCTCTGTCCTCAGGATTTCGCAGCTCCAATGGAGTTTAGTAGAACATTGCTAAATAAAGTGAGTGAAGACACTACTTTCCTGGATGAGGTTTTTTTAGCGATAAGGCAACTTTTAACAGCATAGGTGTTGTCAACTGGCATAACATGAATTTTTTGATGGAGCATTTGCCTTTGCTTTTGGAGGATGTTAACATGCAAACTCGGATGCATATGTACTTCCAACATGACGGCGTACCTGAGCATTATCATAATCGTGTGCGTAACTATTTGGACCTATATCTTGCCCTCCTATATCACCAGATATGATACCGTTGGACTTCTTTCCATGGGGCTACGTTAAGCAAGAGGTTTATAGATATCCACCATCTACCCCGGAAGATACGAAGGAAAGGATTAAGGATACTTTTCTGAACATCAGGGAACACATGCTGAGGCATATGCAACGGTCATTTATCCAAAGTCTACGGCTGTGTATTCAACATATCGTCGTCCGTACCGCAAACAGGCGTAACTGATTTTATATAAATTTTCAGTAGAAGCAAAATGAATATCGACAGTTATTTGATTCCATATATCTTTACTACTTTAGACAATATGCGCATAATTTCTTCTAATAACATAGCTAAAAAGTGTGTTCATCATCTTCTGAGAAGTATATAGAGGAAAGGAAATTCATATTCTCAGCTAAACATGTTTTTTATTTTTTTTTCCAGATACGCCTCTTTGCGGTAACCTTGACAATTACAATAGTTTGCGCTCAACCTGGACCATCTGGAATCCAAAAAAAAATTGTGACCCCCTTTGATATTTCACCAGTTCCGACCTTAAAAAAGAAAACAACTAATAGGGGTAGAAAAGCATCACAAGCAGCGGTAATTACTTCGTCCCCTTATAAAGACGAATTATTGTTGAGCATTGCCAATAAAACTAAACAAGAGATTAAATCTGTTAAGAAAAAGGTGTTTTCTCAATCAACCAAAAATACATCGTCCATAACTTCAAATGAGAATGAAAAGCAGCGATCCTTAGGAGAATCTGAAAGTGATGACGACGAAACAGAGCTGGTGTTAGCAGATGATGACTTAGATATGGATGATATGCCTGGACAAAAGGAACCAGATGATTTAGATGTGGAATGCATCTTTTGTGAAAGCAGATTTTCCGAAGACCGCAAAGGAGAACTGTGGGTTCAATGTTTAATGTGCAATATGTGGTGTCATGTCGATTGTGCAGGTGCTGATAAGGATGATTATGTTTGTGACTTTTGTCGCACTGGATAATATCTGATGTGTTCTTGTCAAGTGCTTCTGTTTTTTTTGCTGCTCTTAAATAAAGCTCTAAGTTACTTTTTGTAGGTATTTTTTCTAGTAGCCCATATTTGTATCACTATCTCAATATCTGGTATAATGTTAATTTTATTTGAACATATAAAAATTCCAAACAGGTTTGTGTAAAAAAAATGAAAACTACCAGCATAATGTTAGATTAGGTTCAGCTTGTCCGACAAAAAAATGCTGAGCCATATAGACCAAATATGTGTCAAATATGCCAGTTTAATAAAATGGTAGCCCATATTTATACCCTCTCCTCTACTCTTAAGTCTGATGCGAGTTTTTTGAGGTCAAAAAAATTACGATAGTCTAAGGGACGAACCTTATATGGCTGTTTCTTCCTTGCTAATGCATAGACTGGCAATAACTGGCTCGGCACAATAATTTCACCTGCATTTTTCAAAGCGTAACTATTGCACTATGTGCTGAATCGCCTTCATTTTGTCCATGACAGGCAAAAAATTTTAACGATATCTCTTTAACGTTTGAGCAATTACTGACGAGATATAAAAGAGTGGTAGCCATTATCGAATTCTTATTTTGGCCACTACAACCATCAGCAAATAAGTCAACAGTATTGTAGCCTTGTTTGTCTTTTTCGGAAATTAATAAATAAACAGCAGTCGATATTTCCGAGCTACCACGTTTACTTTCAGTCTCACTCCATGCATAACAAAAACATTCTCGAGATTCTACTTCATACATAGTTAGATTGTAGACAGCAAGCCGTGTTTTATAAAATACAGAACAATGATTAGAAATTGGTAAGTATATAACTTGTTGGAGAGCAAATGTAGCACATATAGACTTTGTATCATTTTTAGCTTTTTCTTTGCAGCTATTCTTTATTTCTCTTACCGTTTCCTTTTCTAAAATATGGACCAAGTACTCCTTTTCCAAATTAGCCTTTACTTCTTCCGATCCTTCTCTTTAACACTTGCAAAGACCACATTGATCTTTTTTTGGTTTGTGAAATGAGAGGTTCATGGATCTGAAAATTTTTCTATACAAAGAAAACTTCCCTTTGTTTGTTGGTCTTCCAGTTTGTACATGTGATACATCGTACTCAGAGATAAATCTTCATTTATGTATTGTTTAGTTGAGGACTTCCGGCAGTAATGTGACTCTACTCTGGGGAACCTATTTATGTGCTCTATAATACTTTTTCTAATGACTATGTCTCTTGATGATTGTAACTCCCGTCGACCTCCACGATTTTCTTTTTGTGGCACACTCGTTGTTCTATTCAATTTCTTTATTGCGGTTCTGCAAACTTTCTCACTTATCCCAAGGCTCCCATGGAACATTTTTTTACTAACTAATTGTCGGATACCTTCTAGAGGTAAGAAAAAATAATGTGTTTGCTTACGGCATGGATTATTGCTATTTGTAGTTCTATGTTTTGGGTTTTCAGATAATACAACACGAGCTATATACTCTCTTAGTTGATGGAGGTCACCAAGACTATAAAACTGTGAGAATATCATTGTTCTTAAAGGACATCATTTTTCTTTTCTTTTCTTACACATTTCTATATTGCAGATTCCCTTAAGTGCTTTCTCCTTCACAATTTTCTTAGTTACAGGCGAAATATGTGTTTCGCCTTGATTCCTCAACGTTTTTGCAATTCTTCTCTTATCTTCTCTGACTTTTTTTCCTATCACCTTCTGCCTGGGAAACTTCTACAAAAAAATCTTCAGGGCGCCTCTCTTCCTGTTTCTCTTTGCTAAGTACACTGCTCTGTACTGTCCTGTGTCCGTCCTGGCAGGATAGGGTATCATCTTCAAAATGCTTCCAACATAGCAAAATTTAGCATTGAAAGCAGGAAGTGAACACATCTCCTTTACAGCTTTTAACTTCAAAAGTTTGATGATAGTCCGGATCTTCCGGATTATAAATCTCGACTGCAGCAAAGGAATCGCTTTCAGATGAGGTGTGACTCAATTCAGACAAAACATCATATGTATTCTGTAAGTCAAAAGGACATATCTTAGTTACCACTGAGAGAGTAGCAAAAAATGGACACCGCATGTAGGCGTATCTTCATTTACGCCTATTTGCGGTGTATTGTATTTCATTTCTGAGACATACGACGTTTAGTTTTATGCTGATATCTCTATGAGCGAACTACTTAGAGTTACGCCACTTTGCGGGATTGAAGGTATGCTATACCTTGTTGATTTGAATCCGTTAACTCGAATTTGATTTTTTGTCAGATACGCCTGTCTGCGGTATGGACGACGATATGGGAGATATTTTCGAGCAGTTTTTGTAGATTAGGTCTTGAGTAGCTGTTTGTTTATGTTGTTATAGTTGTTTTCTCTCTATTACTCGTGATTGTTATTAGTTTTGACGTGAAATCTGTACTCTTAGTGGCAATATAGAACTAGCCTACTGCTTGTCTTTTGTTTCCATGGATGATGTAATTTTTTCCTTAACTTTGGTGTGTTGTTCTATTAAAAACTTAATAACTCAAAATCTAGTGATTTTATCTTTTTTTTATATAAATTTCAACTATCACGAAGATCTAAGGCCTAAACACCCATTCGGTACCCTGGGGCTACAGGGGATACAGGGGAAAGGGTAACGCCACACGGACTCTGGCGAGGGAACACTTGTGCGTGCAACATTCGCCGGGTGGTATCTCCGCGGTCGACAGTCAGAGACCGTTTACCACCTACGGACAATCAGAACATCCATAGCCAAGAGAAAAATTTCCCTTGGGACGGGATTCGAACCCGCACAGCGCACGGCGACTGATCAGGAGAACGAAGAGTCTACTACTGCGGCCACCGCTGCTGCCTAAATCCGAATCAAGCCTTATAAAAAAAGCTTATAAAAAATTGAATCCAAACTTGCACAAATATATAGGGTGATGCATTGAAATTTTTGAGAAAAAGTACAATTCGCGTTTTCGACCACCCTGTATGAGTAAAAGTGAAAATTCGAAAAAGCAACAAACAATATAAAAGCTGAGGTGTGTAAGTTTTTTTTTTTGATACAAAATTCAGCACTCCAAATTGCAAAACGGCGGATTGAGGGGTTACCGAAGTGGACGGTTTTTCTGGACAAAACACCTTACATGTCAGTAGCTAATTATCAAAACCCCATAGTAAGTTATATCAATCTTTTTCTTTTGAATTGGTTCATATAAATATGCAACAAAATTTGAGGCATTCCGTTTAAAAAATCACAACTTTGATATGTAGGTCAATATTGGAACACACTGTATAATCGCCATTATTTTAGAAATGTGCCATCAAATGTCATGTAGAACATGCTATAAATAGATTTTCCCAAAATGTATTTGTTTATGAGTAATATTCCGTCCACACATGGATGGGCCACCCTGTATAAGGCGTATTATGCTTATTTTCATTTAGTTAAAAACTTAAATTTTATGTATCATTTATTCATATGTATCAGGCCCTATGCAGATGGCATAAGTAGTTAGATGCAAACTGTTCTGAGCAGACCGGAAATTATGCGGGGTGTTCTATTTGAAAAAAATACGACGCTCCTGAAACACCCTGTATATATAAAAGATATCGCATATTCAGCGTTATATTAGATCCTACGGCTTATATATAAATGCTGTAACATATTTTTTCCTAAGCGGTCATACAAAACATTAGAGGAGTGGGTCAGTTTATATAGGGGCACCGTAAACCTATGATATTGTGAATATGGAATAAGCCACCAAAACTAGTGTTTCCCAGTTTTCCCAATTCTCCTAACCATAACCAAATGATGTTATCTTCAAGATAATATCAAACATTTCTGTATATAATGCTTATATTCCAAAACTTCGCGGTTATGTAATTTGTAGATAACATTTTTCTGTCGTTTGTTATTATCCATACAAATGATGATTGCAGTCACTCCTATAACATCCATTAGAAATGTAACAGCAATCTTTTGGCATCCCTCGTATAGCCTATAACCGCTCGACATTATAGATATTTGTTGATTTCTGGAACGAAGTTTGCTAGTTTTATAGGCAAATGATTCAAATATCTGAATAAGATGTTTTCGGATGCAGATTGAATTAGTATCATAAATAAATGAGAAGCTCGTAAAATGTTTGTGTATTTTCTGAAAATACGACATTAGGTGGAAGACTGCTTGTTCAGTCCACTACTGTGCGGGATTATGTACGAATTATACGCTGCTATAAATGTTCAGGTTTTGGCCACATGGAAAAAAATTGGAAACATTCTAGAGTATCATGTCCTTTATGTGCTGGAGAACATTTAGAAAATAATTGTGAATCGGCTTTTAAGAATTGTTCAAACTGAATGAATCAGAATTCTAAATTCAACACTTAATTTGATACTAGTCATTCTTCTAAAGACTTAGATTGTCCAACCTATAAAAACATGTTACATACTTGAAATCTAAAATTGAATATGAATATTGATAAATTCAAGATTTTAAAATTTGGTCATATAAACTGCAGATCAGTTTTATCAGGATTTCATGAATTTAGCACTCTGGTTCAAAACAACAAACTTGAAATTGTTGGAATTTCGCAAACGTGGCTATCAAAAGATATATCTAATGACCATATAAGAATGAATGGATACAACTGCTATCGTTGCGATAGAGATGGGCGAGGTGGTGGGGTTAGTCTTTTGAAACAACCACTATAGTTCTTCCATAATTTGATTTGGGCAAGGCCCAAGTCTTGGATATACAGGGTGTTTCAGTTTATTGTTGCATAACTTTAAGATTCGATAGAACATTCAAAATTAATGCATAAAGTCTATATAAACATGGGTCGAAAAATGCGTGGCTTCCAAAGTACAGGGTGTTTAAATTTACTTTCTAAAATAGTTTTTTTTAAATATTTCGAACAATATTTGATGTATAATAGTGCAAATTGGTATGCAAGGGTTTTTTCATACGACAAAACGAACCATGGGCATAGTTTTACTGTAGCCGCTAGAGGGCGCTCTCTACTGTACCTGTAGTGTATTAAAATGACCGAACAATTTTTCTTAGTACAATTTTTTGCTTTTTGAATAAAAAAACTGATTCTTCGCACTTTTCAACATAAAAAAAGCTCTCCTGTGATTTTTCGTTATAGTTAGCCGTTTTTAAGATATTTCGATTTCTTTGGGTCGATGCATTTTTAATTATTTATGGGGAAATAATATTTTTTTACATTTTCGATTTGGGCATTACAAGTAATTAAGATGATCGTTTAGATTGTGTTTTTAAACAGAGCAATAATTCCTAACTCCAAATAAACACAAAAAATAGAATATTAATTTGTTTAATTTTCCAATATTATTTTTAACAAATTAAATTAATTATTTTCAACTAAAATGCTATTGGCTAGTTAGGACCAACATACAAAATCTAAAGTAGTTGCTCGAAATGTAAACCCAATTGTTCAATACACAATTCACATCTACTAGTAATGATAGAACGTGGTATAGCAGTATTCAAATTAGGCCTTATTTCATCACATGTATTCCTGATTCTATCTATTAGCATATCTCTTATGGTTACGGGAGTCTGGTACACTTTTTCTTTTAGAAATCCCCACACAAAGAAATCTAATGGATTTAGGTCAGGGGATCGTGGAGGCCAGGCGACTGGTTCTCCATGGCCGATCCATCTTTCTGGATAATTCTCGTCCAGCCAGTTTCTAACTATTCTCGAATAATGAGCTGGACAACTAGGCCAATCTTCTTAAATCTAACATAACATCATCCCACATATTTGCATGTTCAGCCTTTAAGATTCCAAGAAGGTCGCAGCATTGATAGTTATATGACTTTTTTGAGGTTTTCGCAGAGCATGAGCATATATTTCTGGTCAAACTGCCAACGTAAGAGCACAAACGCTACTTCCATCACCTGTCGAACTCCTACCCTACCTATGAAATAAATAGTAGTCATGTTCGGTAGTCCCATCTGACTGATCTGACAAGTCTGAATCGCTTGATAATTACATCCGGATATAGAGGAGGTTAGTCTGTAGCGTACGGTATTGAAATCGGATCGATCACGACGAAAATCTGGGGGCTTCACGTTTCTTGGCTGGCGAAAAAGATTAGTCTCCGTTTGTAAGGTTAGATTTACAGCAGGGAAGTGACAGCCCGTTTGTTCCAGCAAATTATTTATTTTTCATTTTAGGACGTCATTTGAAATCGAATTGGATGATGTGGAGTAAGGTATAGGATCAAAGTCAGTGCAGAGAAATATGAGGAAATTACAACGGAACAAAGTGGGTAGAATATAAACTGCGTGTTTGTATGTGAAGACCATCAGTTAATTTCAGATTTAGCACTTGCAGTTTGCAGTTTGAAAGAACATCAAGTAAGGGACAATTATGTCCATTCACTACGGCGGTGGTACCAAAAAAACAACGGAATTGCTTTTAAAAGCTATTTATTTTCAACTTTTTCACAAAGTAACCTCATCTCCTTCAAAATACTGACCTCAAGAACTAATACACTTGTCCCACCGGTGCTTCCACTGCTCAAAACATTTTTTGAAGTCTTCCATAGAAATGTCTGACAGCTCCTTCCTCATTTTTTTCTTGACCTCTCCAATGGCGTCAAAGCGACGTCCTTTTGTGTCCCCTTTCATCCGTGGAAATATGAAAAGTCGCACGGAGCCAGGTCAGTCGAAGAAGGCGCGTGAGACAGCGGAACCATGCCATTTTTAGCCAGAAACTGTCGAACAGACGCTATGTGCGCAGATGCATTATTGTTGTTTTTTGCCGAAGACTGTTTCGCAATCCTTAAAACCTGCAAATAAACGGTCTGATTGACAGTGTGATCTGGGGGAACAAACTCGAAATGGAGTACGCCTTAAACATCAAAAAAACAAATCAGCATTGATTTGATGATTGATTGGACTTGACATTTTTTTGGACGGGGTGACGATGGCGTCTTCCATTGACTTGACTGTTGCTTAGTTTTTGGGTCATTACCATAGCACCAAGTCTCATCACCAGTGATGATCTTTGACGGAAAATTTGGATTAGATTCAAGCTGTTGTCTCAAAGCACGACATGTTTCTTTGTGTTCTTTTTGATTGTCAGTCAGAGCCTGAGGAACATACTTGGCAGCAACCCTTTTGATTCCCAAAACTTCTGTTAAAGTTTGCTGAACCGAACTCCAGGGTAATCCACTACTTACGGATAGTTGATTGACTGTCAGTCGACGGACAAGCTCTCGAATTTTTTCAATATTTTCGTCGATTCGGGCAGTTGATGGACGTCCAGAGCGAGGTTTGCCATCAATCGACATGTCGTTTCAGCAGCATTTTTACCAATTGGAAAGCGAAATTTCTCACTGGAGCTTGCCATCGTAAGAAACGAAACGAGCATGAAACAGCTCTAGTAAAAAATAACGACTACAGAAGAACGAAACAAGCCAGATCGACAGCTCAGGTGGCACTGAACGGGTAATGACTTGCGCTTTACGCCTCTAGGGGCAGA